GTTTAATATGACGGATCGTCATTACCTTGACCCATTTTCATAATCGGTTTATGACGTCACAACTTTACAACAATTTTTCTATAAGTAACCGGTTATCGTATGGTGGCACGAAAAAGATTAATCTTGTGGAGTAGCAACGCCATTTAAATTTCTAGTTCTTTTAGTGCATGTGATCTAATCTCTAGTGTTGGCACACAATAAACGGTCAGAAATGACGAATCTGGAGAACAGCTGCTTTTGACTTGCCGACGGGATACATTTTGCATCTTGAATATGAACGGACTTTGTTCCCTGCTTATTGGACAACTGACTTCTTCTACGGCCATAGTTTCCTGTACCTGCTATAACTTTGGTTGAGAAGGTGATGACCTGCCCTGGAACGATCAGTAGGCTGTTACAAGTACTCCTTCTTTGCCTTAATACCATTTCTAGGGTCTTCTCCGTAACTCTGAGCAGCTTAGCTCTCCACCTCCTGGCCTCAACGTGAAAATGACGCATTCCTCGAACTGTTAGCAGCTTCGACGGCGTTGCCATTTCCTGAATGGACTCTAAAGGTGGCATAAAATAATTCTCAACCTCCTTTTGGTAGGTCGAATGCGGCACTTCGTCATATTGAGCCTGTTAGTGTCGAGCAAGCAGCTGATGTGCTTCAAGCAGACAACGTCGACGTGAAACGGCTGGTCTTAGACCAAGTTCCGCTACAACCATTTGGTATTCATGCCCAATGCAGAACCCGTGCGAATCTCTGGTAACGAGCTGCGTCATCTGTTCCACGTTCCACGTGATCTCAGCGAGTAAGACTTCTACCGAGGGATGTTTAGGTGGTTTGCTATATTCGCTTACGAGGGAATATGGTTCCGTCGACGATTCAGCTGTTTATCGTGCAAAGGCCTAGCTGACGGCTGTCGCTCTCCTTCGCGCTGTCAATACCTTGACGTTTGACATCAGTTTCAGATGGTTGAATATGAAATCAGACGTTTTGGTGCATCAGCACTGTGAACATGAACCTTCTTCGATCCACCAATGGATGTTGACCTTTTTTAGACTTTGTCGTAAATCTCCACGTTCTGTGATTCTTATCCACATTGATCCCGTGAACTTCTTCAGCTCATCGCCCATCGATCTGGAGGTCTT